CAATTGCCTCATGTCAATACATTTCTTTCTAGCTCTCTAGGAGCCTTGAAGAATCAGTGGTTTTGCAATGACAGTGGCTGTGAACAAAGTAGTCTGGCATCCACTAAAGAGATCAGAAAGTATTTTAAGTTTTCCCAAATGCCTCACCCTTAGAGAATTGTTACTCTTTAACCTGTATGAAAGCGCCTGGAAAATCCCAATTTAAGAGGCTTTTCTTTATTTCACTTAAATTAAAGCTCACTCAGTGAAAACCTCTGCCCACAGGGTAGTTGTCAAAAACAACTGGGCAGTAGTTTTACATAACAGTTGTCTAAGAGAATGATACTGGTTGGGGCAAACAGGAAGTTTACCAAAAAAAATTTAAAAGAAAATCTGGTGAATGAGATACTAGTAAGAGGATACACAGATATGCAATACTATGAAGGACCCAATAAGGCTCTAGGTCTTACCTCTGGATGGCCTAAAGACTGTGCAAGCAGTATTAAAAAACGGCTTGAGCCGGGCTCGGTGGCTCAGCCTGTAATCCCGTGCCTTTGGGAGGCTGAGGTGAGTGGATTGCTGAGCCCGCGGGTTCGAGACCCGCCTGGGCAGCAAGACCTCATCTCTACAATAAATCAAAAAAATCAGTAGGGCGTGGTAGCGCATGTCTGTAATTCCAGCTACTTGGAAGGCTGAGGTGGAAGGATCTCCGGAGCCCAGCAGGTCGAGGCTGCGGTGGCTGGGAGCGGCCACTGCACTCTAGTCTGGGCGACAGAGTGAGACTCCAACTCAAAAAAAAAAACCAAACAAAAACAAACAAACAAACAAACAAAACCAGCTTGACTGTTCAAGGCATGCCTCGATACCTTGTCTGATCATTTGTTGACCACTAAGCTACTGAGCAGAGACTTCAATGGCTGAATACAACAGATAATATAGATTTGAACCCCATTAGTTCAGGGACGTCACTAGACAAAAATAGCAATAGCAATAACAACAGTAAATCAAATCAAACCAAACCAAGCAAACAAACAAAAAAACAGCAGTTAACAACAAACCCTGGAAGAGAGGTGCTAATTTCCAGAGTTGCCACATTATAGTATACCAAAAGTCCAGTTTTCAACGAGGAAGCAAAATAATAAGTGACATGCCATAAAACAAGAAAGTATGACCCATAAATAGGAAAAGTAGAAGTCAGTAGAAATTGTCCCTGAAGAAGCACAAATAATGGGTTTGCTACACAAAGAATTTTAATCAACTACTATACTATGTTCAAATAACTAAAGGAAACCATGTCAAATAAATTAAAGTAGGTATTTTGTCTCCCTTTTCATACCTGAGGCAGCACTTTCAGGTGTCAGGCTCCACACAGTGTCATCAAATCAATCTCCTTGTTTCAAGCAGACCCAGGACTGAATCACCCATTGTGTTAGACATTAATACTCAGGCCCCAGAGTTTAGGACCTAAATCCAAATCTAGAGCCAATTCATCATGACAGTATTAGCTTTCACTTAACACTTTGGTTTTTATTTCTTTATTTTAGGCATCCATATTGTTTTATTGGTTTGTTTTGTGTTTAGTTTGTTTTTAGCTTGTTTATTCGTATTTTTAAAAATCAGAAATGTACTGGCTAAATTGATTCTAGATGTTTTATGACTTGATTTTGTAATTGTTGAACCCACAGTTTGAAGTACCGACTCTCATTTTTCCTCCACATTTATTCCTTCAAATTTCAGCTTTCCTTTTTCCCTAACCCCGCATTTTACACCCAAACTTAATTTATAGGTGGGGGAGAGGCTTACCAAAAAAAAAAAAAAAAAAAATAGTCAAAGTCTAAAATTACTATGAAGCCAATTCTAAAAGCATAATCCTTTGATTCGTTGAACTTTTCCTTTCAGGAGTTTCTCAGTCTTTAGCATAAGCAAGGATTACCAAGAAATAATTTAAAGTGCAGAATTCAGAGACCCAGTCACAAAAATTGGGATTCATTAGGTTTGAAGTAGTCTATGAATATGAATATTAAACAAGCACTCCAGTAGATTAAAATATTTTTAGTTTGATTTACTTAGTGACTTTGGACCATAATATGAGAGATTAAAAACAAACACATCTCTGATGTGAGTTTCTTTATTCTTGTAATTTTTGATTTTATACTGTGCTTTTCTATTAAAATCAGAGTAAAGAAAAAATATCTACTTAATCAAGGGTTCTACTTGTTTGTAATAAACATTGATAAAATTTCCAATTTAATTGTTCATGGTATCTTTCCCTAAAATGTGTTCATTTATAAAAATTTATTTCAGCTAACTCTTGTTTTAAAATGATGTAATAAGAAATATGTACCACTGCAAAGATCTTGACATTATTTGGAAACTTTCTGCCATGATGATTTTGTCTCAGGAGAAATTAGAGAATTCCATAAAAGTCCCTAATCATAATTTATAGAATGTTGAGTCAAGAAACAGGTGTTATTGTTGAAATGATGAACTTGTCCTCGTCTTCACTTGTAAATTTCTAAGATATGAGCCTATAAACCTTAAATTAGATGCTGGGTTCACATAGATTTATGTCATTTATTTCCTTTTATTGAAAAAATTAAAAGTGATATCTACTTGTATCTTGCCAGCTGCTCTCCAACCACATGCACTGCGTGCAAATATCAGTGGAAATGCCAGTGCTTTGGTGACTCCAACTCACACATGCCCCAGCACCTGGCTGATGGAAGCCACTCTTAAAAAATATTTGTGTCTCTGTACTATGAACTTGGCTCCAATGCTGGCTAGCATTCCATTTCCAGATGGTTCCCATTACCACCTAATTATTTTAAACCCCGATTTTATTTCAAACAATTTACCATTGTCAAGGGTCACTACCAGGTACAGTATTACTGAGATCAAATATTTTTGGTTCTAGATCTACAGTTGTGAGAGTTCAAGAATGGCCTTCTTTAGAGTGATTGATAAACCATTCAACAAAATACATGGATAAACTATAAATTCAATATTAAAATTTTAACAAAATGATACAGAATTTTATAACAATTATTCACAGTCATAACTATTGCTTATTTATTTTAAATTTGAAATTATCCTAATAAACAAGTTAGAAAGAACCAAATAAATCTATTTATTCATTAACCATTGATTTATTAATTCTTCTGATATTATTAAGGGCTTAATTATGTGCCTTAATAAGATTTTTTTTTTTTTAAGGAACTCCTCTCAAATAATTTGCACCCCAGTAGAAGAGGGGAGAATTACAACTTATTGTCAAAATGTGTTAAAATATACACAGAAAGGCAATCTGTATTAGATGACAAAGATTAAAGAAAGTCCTAGGAATTTTTATCTCTTTTACATTATGAGACTGTGTTTTCTAGTTTTAGTACTGATTAGAGATATTGGATTTGAGGAAAAGGAAGTGAGTCTGAATTTGAAAATGGATACAATATACAATTTTGATAGATTCTTTTCTTGTTTTTAAGATGTGGTTCATGATAAGATATAGCATACTCATATCATTAGCATACTCTGCATTCTATAAGGATGTTGTTTACCTGGTTTTGCCCACTTTGGGCACCTGTCATTGGAACTAACAGAATAAATCTAGCACAATTAAATATATTGTGTTTACACAACACAGTTGCTTAAAGGGTGCTTTTTAACAAAAGATGTATGAAGGAGGGCCTAAAAGAATGGAGTGAAAATTATTAAACCCAAACTCTAGAATGATACTTAGGTATATTTAAATATGTTGGAAGGTGGCAGGGAAAAGGGGTATAAACATATTTGTATTTGTTTCTTCAAAGCCTTAGGCCATTATTAATCCTTCCAGATTTGGGGATTCTTTTCTTTGAATCTATGCTGCTCTTTCCTAGACCATTTGAGTTAGGATTCCTTGTATCAAGAACCTTCCAAAACACTTTTGGACTTGCTTAAAGTACACTCTACTTTCTAAGTCTCCATCAGGTTTCTCTGGAAAGTATCATTTTCCTCCCATAGAATCTGTAAAGAGTCATTGTGGGTTTTTTTCCTCTGTATTTCTAAATGTGTCAGCTGAGTGAGTCCTGTGCTCTATCCTCCTTTAATTTGAGCACTCTGACCCTTACTCTCTTGCCTGTACTTCTTCTGACTGCACAAGCTGGCAGCCATGGAAGTGGGGTACGGCATTTTAAATGCCTTTTAACCAGGAAGTGTAATTGCCTGGATCCCCCAGGGTGCAGTCATGGTGCCACCCATGTAACATATCAAGTATTTTTGGTGAGTATAGCTCGGGAGAATTATTCATTAATCACTTCACACCAATTACATGAGAGCTTATTTATCACAGGCAATGGTTATTTCTCTTTACAAACTATACTGGTAAAAAATACATTTGGATATGATATTATTTTACAAGTTTATGTCATTTCTATATACTCATACTCTAGACATTCACCTCTCAGTCTCAACTACATTGCTGAACCTCTGGGTGTCACAGTGTCAGTAAACTCCTGGAAAGCAATGTACTGAGCTATGCCATAGCAGAGTGTGGTCATTATAATCCAGGGAAATCAAGAACCATACATTCCGTTTGCCTTCAGTTATAGTATTAATTTGTTTTATGAATTTTTAGTAGCTTCTATAACATAAAATTATTCATTTAACCAATAAGGATCATTTTGTAGATAATAATTAGCTGATTCTAACATATTTTGAAATTTTTGAAGACTCACACGTTAACCCTGATATAATTCTATACTATGTCTTTCTAGTGTAAGTCCAACTAGTCTATGTTGCTATTTAGAAAATATATTTCCTTATTTTCAGAAAGTTTATGGGCCTTAGCAGCATATTTAAAATGTTATCAAATCAAGACACAGACCTGATTTGCTTAGCTTAGCTTTACATGCTCTCGCTAATCAAGTATAACTTTTTTTTTTTCCTCACAGAAGTTGCTTAATGCTATGAAAGTGAAATACCTTTATGGCAGATTTCTTTGGGTATAAGCAATTTTTCAATAAACAGTGTTATGTACTCACGTTTCTCTTGTTCTGCTTCCACTCCTTCACTTTCTGTGTCACTCGGCAAGATCCATGGTTGATGAACTACTTGCAGTTGCTTTAAGGATTCATCCTGCCAAAGAGTAAATTTATCTTAAATTAAATATTATTTTAATTTTGTGGATATTAATATGAGTGATCACTTCAATCTCCATGAACTGCATATTCAGAAATTGTAAGAATGGCAGTTTCTTTCACCCATGCCAGCTCTGGCATGTCTCCCCTTCTTTTCTCTCTTCTTTCTCTAATAAACTTTGTGTTAAAGCTTAAAAAAAACCTGTAAGAATAATTTATCCACACAAAAGAGCTCTAAGTTTAAATTTATTTTCATGTCATACTACAAACTCAGAATCCATTTTTTTTACATTCATCTTTTAATAAGATTTAGAGTCATACTGAATGATCTGTCACAGAAACAAAGAACTGAGTACCACATGTTCTCACTCATAAGCAGAACTTGAACAATTATAATACTATAAGAAAGGGATTGGCAGTAGTGGCAAAAACTGCCAGGGGAGGTGGGGGCACACCTCATCAACAAGGGTTCCTACATAATGAACATTTGTATACCTAACCCTGAATTGTATCCCACATCTTTAAAATGAAAAATTTTTAAAAAAGACATGTGTGGTCCACAAGCTACACCAAAAAATAAAAAAAGATTTAGAGTCTTTTAAAAAATATATCTAAACTATGTTCCTCCTGAAGATTTTTATGGAAATTTTTGACATTCATTATTGGAAATAGAATCATGAAATACTCAATATAAGAATGCACAAAATGTGTCTCTTTGCCATCAAGGATTCAGCTTTACCTTAATTAGAATGAAAATTCGTAGGATTTAGATGATATCAATTTTACCCTTCGGTACTACTTTATTGCCTCATTCCTCTTCACACTTCCTTATTTTTGTTAAAATATTTCTCATATACTTTCTTGATGTTCTTTACCTTCTGTCATTGAAATAAAACAGACCCTCATTATCTCCCATCCTGACTACAGATACGAAGATGTAATTGCCATTTAGGAAGTTTTCTAGGATCAAGTTTCATATCCTCTCTAATTCTCTCAGCAGTCACCTGCCAGAGTGAGCTCCGCAAGATGCCCTATGATGTAATCATTACTTTGCTCCTAATCCTTCAATGGCTTTCTCACTATTCCCAGGATAAAACTTAAACTCAATGCCCTTCATGATCCATCTTGTCTAGCCTGATCTATTGCACAACCCTCTCCAACCCACCTCAACCACTCCAGCTATAATTAACTGGTAGCTTCTCAATTTTGACATTCCCTCTAACTGCCAAGATGTTGTAAGCCGCATTTTCTTATCTGTCTTAAATATTAGGACTCCTCCTCCAAGGCTTAGGGGTCACCTCTACTAAAGCCTTTTCTGATCCTTCAAAGTACAGCTACTCCTTTATTTCTTTATGTGCCTATTGCACCAATATAATAATTAGTGTATAATAATTATCCTTTTAGATCTTCCTGACTCAATAATAATGAGAAGGTACTTGAGGTATGGATAACTTTTTTTACCTTTGCCTTTTCAGTATCTATTATGGTGCCTGGCATTAAATAGGGTCTCACTGAGTAAACATTTGTGAAGGTGAAAGTAAGGAAGAAAAGAGAGAAGAAAATGGAGGGTAGACTGGAAGGAGAGTCCTCTCTAAAACAAAATAAGTAACAATTTTAAATGTACTGAGTCATGATTCGAGATAACTTTTCAAATACTTTTGAAAATTAAAAACACAAAATCAATATGATCTGTCGGTTTATTCTTTTGATTTCTCAAATTTATTCAACATCTCTCCCTGTTTTCAATGAGATTTTTTCCAACTTGAGATATTTTGCTTATTTTTATTCAGAAAAATACTAACAAGATAAAATAAAGGTTCACAATTCCTGATGTTTAAGAAACATGATATCACCAGACATTAGTGTTTACTTTGCTTAAAACAGTTCCTGGCTAGGTTCAGTGGCTCACATCTGTAATCCCAAAACTTTGGGAGGTAGAGAAGGGAGGATTGCTTGAGCCCAAGAATTCAAGACCAACCTAGGCAACATAGCAAGACCTCATTGTTACAACAAATCAAAAAAATTAACCAGGCATGGTGGTGTGTGCCTGTAGTTCCAACTACTTGGGAGGCTGAGGCAGAAGGATTGCCTGAGACCAGGAAACAAAAGAAAATAAAACAACACACACATACACACACACAGAGAAAGAAAACAAATAATTCCTGTATGAGAGAAATACCCTATTTTCCATTCCTTAATTTTGATGGCAACTTCTGGGAATATTCAGTCTCAATCTAGAATTTCAAAAAGGCACATCTTTTCAGAATTTGGACATGGAATGAGGAGTTGGATCAGTGAAACACAGGGGGTATTTTAGGGCAGTAAAACTATCCTATATAGTACCATAATGGTAAATACAAGACATTAAACATTTGTCAAACCCACAGAATTTTAAGCCAAAGCATAAACACATGCAAATTTTTATTTTATATGAAAATGAAAAAGATCAATTAAGAAGTTGGGGAATCCCAGGATGAAAGACAAATGCCAAAAAGAATATAGATGCATTACAGATATATAAAACAAGCTCACTGAAAGGAAAGCGAAATTAAGGTGCTGACCTAAGTAACTTCAAAAATGAGTTGAGTTTTTGAGACCAAAGGCGAAAGAAATTGTATGTAAGCACTGTATCTATTTGATAGTGATGTTTCCCATAGTCATACAGGTTAACAATACTGAAACCACTATACATGTATTCTGGTAATGAATGGTGAAGTAAATGGATGGCAGGTGATAGGAGCCAGATTTCTCACTGTTGGGGTAGGAGTTTACAGACAATGAGCATGTAAGTTCAGCTGCACTTTGACATTCAGAACATAGACTGCCTTAGGCTAAGATACAGAAGCTGGTTGGAACTTGTTGCCCTAGGAACCTTTCACACCCAAGGTAAACTCTTTTTTTCATGCAGCCTCAGCACAAAAGCATTACTCCAGTAGCCGAGGATGCCCTTGCAATTCTCACTGGGGTAGCCAAAAGTGCACACAGGTGGTGAACTTGAGCTCTTTTCCCATTACCTTCCTCAAAGGCTCAAAACAGACAGAAAGCTGGGGTAATTCCCAGAGTCATACTTATTTCCTAGGCTGGCTAGGCATTTTCTTAGAGCAACATATGCCAAGCAGAAAACCCACAGCCAACATCATAGCTGTTTGTCTTCCACAAATGCCACTTCCTGGTTGGAGGTCAACAACACAACCCATTACATCTGATATAACTCAGCTTTGGAAAAGATCTAATCCCAGAACTCAATTAATACCACTCTCTACTCAGGATGCCTTGAGCCTTTGCTGGGCTGCCACAGCTGGCAACTGAGAAACTCACCACACATGGCTATGTGTAACCAAGGGAATCCTACAGTGCTTATGTCAGCCCACTTCCAATCTCAAATAAAAAGAAATAGCCCACCCAAAGAAGAAGGAACCAGAAAAATAATTCTGACAATATTAAAAAAGAGTTCTTCAACACCCTCAAAAGACCACACTAACTCTTCAGAAATTGACACTAACCCAAATGAAATCTATGAAATTCCAAAGATAGAATTCAAATGGTTGATTATAAAATTGCTCAAGCCAGGCTCGGTGGCTCAGCCTGTAATCCCAGCACTTTGGGAAGGTGAGGTGAGTGGACTGCCTGAGCCCACGGGTTCATGACCCACCTGGGCAACTTGGTGAGACCTCATCTCTACATAAAATAAAAAATTAGCCGGGTGTGGTAGCACGTGCCTGTAGTTCCAGCTACTTGGAAAGCTGAGGCAGAAGGATCGCCAGAGTCCAGCAGGTCGAGGCTGCGGTGGCCGGGAGTGGCCACTGCACTCCAGTGTGGGCGATAGAGTGAGACTCCAAATCAAAAAAATAAAATAAAATAAAATAGCTCAATGAGATTCAAGAGAAAGTTAAAAACCAACATAAATAAGTTTTAAAAACTATTCAGGACATGAATGAAAAATTCTCCAATGAGATAGACACCTTTAAAAAAAGCTGAAATTCTGAAAATGAAAGAATTATTTAATAAAGTACAGAATGTAGTGAAAAATTTAACAGTAGACTATAACAGATAGAAGAAAGAATCCAGAACTTGCATATAAGTCTTTCAAATTAACCCAATCAGACAACAATAAAGAATCAAGAATCAAGAAAACAGAAAAAGAAGTGTGGGATTATGTATAATGTCCAAACCTAAGAATGATAGTTGTTCCTAAGGAAGAAGAGAAAACAACAGGTTTGGAAAACCTATTTGAGGGAATAATGAAGAAAAACGTCCCTGGCCTTACCAGAAATCTGAACATCTAGATACAAGAATCCCAAAGAACATCCAGAAGATTTATTGCAAAATGGTCAATGCCAAGTCATATAATCATCAGGTTTTTCAAAGTTAATGTGAAGGAAAGAACTTTAAGAGCAGTGAGACAAAAGCCTCAAATAACTTACAAAACCTATCAGACTTCTCAGAAGAAATCCCACAAGCCAGAAAGGGGCTCCATCTTCAATCTCCTCAAACAGATTAACAGTCAGCCAAGGACCTTGTACCCTGCAATACTAAGTTTCATAAACGAAAGGAAAATTAAGTCTTTCTCAGACAAGCAAAAGTCAATAAATGTGATTAACCTCATTAACAGAATTAAAAACAAAAATCATATGATCATTTCAATAGACACAGAAAGAACATTTAACAAAATCCAGCATCCCTCCATGATAAAAACCTCAGCAAAATAGGCATAGAGGAAACATTACTCAAAATAATAAAAGCCATGTACAACAAACCCACAGCCAATCTCATCCTAAATGAAGAAAAGTTGAATGTATTCGCCTCAGAACTGGAACAAGACAAAGATGCTCACTTTTCAAAGATACTTTACTACTCCTATTCAAAATAGTACTGGAAGTCCTGGCCAGGGCAATCAGGCAAGAAAAAGAAAAAAAGGGTATCCAAATTGGAAAAGAAAAAAATCAAACGATCTCTGTATGCAAGGGATATGATCTTATACCTAGAGAAAATCCTAAA